TTATTCCTAAATTAACAAACCAAAATTCTCCACATAACTTTATCGTATGAGTTGAGAAATCTGCAGCTGTGTCTGTCCCAAAAAAAAAAAAAAGAAACCCCACACTGCTCTCCTGCAGCGATGGCGACATCGACATGGAGCTGTCTGTGCAACATAAAACAAGCAACAATCCCAAAGTAGCAGAGTACGGGTACGTGTCGGGTCGGTGCCACATTGTGCTGCCGTGTCCCTCTCTCTGTTTACTTAGCCTGTCCATGTAATGACAGGGATATCTGTAAAATGACTGCTGCTGCCACACACTCTCAGTCCGTCTCCTTCTGTCTGTTTGTTCTTCACACTCTGCAGAGTTCGCATCTCCTCCTGCACACGATCGCAGCTATTTCTCCATCACTCTGTTGCTCTGCTCAAGTCGTGTGACAACAGAGAGAATAACTGCCCCTGTCCCCCTGTCTCTCTCTCTCTCTCCTTCTCTTTTTTCTGTCCCTCTGTGCTCTCCGGGCTCAATGACCTGAGGTATGTGTGTGAAGTTGACTGCACAAAGATCGCACTGTTGCTCTGTTTTCCACTTTATGTGATTTCCAGTTTCAGGTCAACTGCAGGCAGCACCTACAAACACACAAAGACACCGCTGTTGTCGTCTCTGTTTTTTATTTTTATAACGTGTTTTCCATTAGGTTTGCATGATTGTGCAAATAATATGAAGAGGCTATTGTCATTTTTACCTCCAGGAGCTTATGTTTTCACCCCTGTCCCATCTGTTGCTTTGTCAGTAGGATTACACAATAACTACTAGCGCCACAAAACGTGGGGAGCGATGTGATTGGAGACACAGAACTGTCAGACAGGAGGGTTGTTTTGTTGCCAAGCTATAAGTCTTGATTGGATTTAAGGTGACTGTTGGGCCCAGGTGGAGGTTTGTGCTCTACTGAGTGTCATTCTAGTTTTCTTTGTACAAGTCAAGCTCAGTTGCACTTGATTTGTTCTTTGTCGACAGATGCAGCTGTTCCTTCTCTTTCTTACTGTGTCCTGCAGTGCACGAGACGATACGAGCGTCCATAAAAGAGCTGCAGCTTTGTCTTTGTCACCCTCTGTTATTAAAGTGTCCACGTGTGCAGGTGTTGTTAGCCTATAAAAGTGGGACGGAGAAGACGTCCTTCTGTGCTTTTAGACGATGAAGTCTATTTCAGAAATGTTTAATGGTGCAGTTTACGTGGAAAGCCAGGTTTACACATGATTGAGGGTTTGCACACACACACACACACACACACACACAAATAATCTAGTGAGTCCACAATCGTCCCAGCTATTCACCACTGTCCCTATCAGCAGTGGAAAGACTGTGGTTGCCTGGGTTACGGGATATTCTGGGATGGTGTAAATATAGATGCCACACCCTCAGCCTGAAATGCAATTGCACAAACACACACACAAACACACACACACACACACACAAGTTTTTCTTTCCCGAGGTTGATGTTTTGAGGTAGTTTAGTAAAATCTAGATTTTCAAGTTTAAGATTTATGTAACTGAAGGCGTTCGTGAAGATACCACACACGCGCTCTTGACTTCATTTACCAGCCAGAGACGACCATTTTTGGGAAAGCGTCTACAATTTAAACCCTGACAGCAGAACTCCTCTTAAAGAGATTTCCAGCAAACATCTGAGACCCTCGTCCACAAAAGTAATTGCTTGGAAAACATTGCTCCTGCTTATGTCGGCTATGAACTCTTGAGAAAAGCGCCCGGCTATCTGATCCCTGCAAAGCGTTGGGTCTGCGGAGACAGAGAGACATGAAATGAACCGCAGAGTAAGTGATTGTGGTTGGTTTTCAAGAGATGACTCATATGTAACCATTATATATGAAGAGTAAATATTGGCTGCAGTTGAAAAAAGTTTTTATTACTTGGGATTGTGCCCGTAACAAAGTGAGGGAAAGTTGAATCGGAAAGGCAGCATCAGCTTCCAGAAAGAAACAATGAGAGCCAATTATCCATTTGTTTATCGATATGTTTACTGCTGTACAAAGTTTATCCACTGGGTGTCACTACTCTACAAAGGGAACTACGTTCAAAACAGGAAGCCAGGTAGCCAGGTAATGTTGCATGCTGGGTAGGCATACGGTTTTTGACCCGTTCTGTGGAGCTGTGGTTTAACCAAGCAAAGTTTACCTAAGTTACTGAGCTGTACGATTTTCGCCATATGATGGATTGGGTTTATTTTTGTCCGGATGCAACGTGGCTAAGTGTGAGCAAATATTCAGGAATAAAAGGTAACGCAAACAATAGTTTGTACAGATGATGCCAAAGGGCAAAGCAGGACTTTGAATTCCATCTGAGACTCTTTTAGTTTTCCCGTTTTTGACACACTAACCGAATGCGGCAGGATTTGGCTTCACTCTACAGTTTAAAAAAAAGTGAAACCAGACCACAAACAAAGTCGGCACAGTAAAGAATTATCTTTGTGGTTTGCTTTTGTAAGTAATTAAAACCACAAACGACACTATCTCCCCTTGGAAACAGACGTTCGGACAACAAGTCCATTCAGCGGCTGAAAGAAGCGATTCACACGAGAGCGGCTCCACAATCACAACTGTACTTGGGTCAACAATGCTCCCTCTGTGGCCCTTCACTGCTGTTCTGTTTATACCAACGCTGCAGTGTTATCCCGGCCTTCACGACGGCACATGATGTTGATCTTTTTCCAGAGCTGCGATACGTTACAGTAGCTGCAGGCTCACAGAATGTCTTTCATGCACAGATTTATTCAATGAGGAGGAGGTGTGTGACTCACTGATGCTGAATTGACCCAGAGCCTCTTCACAAGTCTCATTATTCTGAGCGTGCTCTGATTGCCATCGCTCAAGTACATGAAATATGAAATGATAATTCTGCATCCCATGTTGGGTGAAACTCCCACTGCTGGAAACAAACAAAAGGCATTTTAATTGGTCACTTTTCCACTACAGAGATTTCTACACAAATTAAATAAATATAGATTTTCTTCAGTAATTCATTTGGAGCTGGTTTTCCCTCTAATCTTTTGTGCTACTAGTTTCTACTCATTTAGGTTGTGCTCTAAAAAAAGAATCCTACTTTGCTTTTTGCCCCTGTACTTTGAATCCCCCACACATTTTAAAATCTGTTAAGAATGAAATGCAGATGCATACATTTTAAAATATTGTTGAGAAAATGTGAGATTAGTCAACAGTTCACCAAAGTGCAGACAGGATCCAATATATTTACAGTGATCACACAAACAACAAAGGCTCTTTCACTTTATCACTTCAATGAATTGCTTTCTCCTCGGACCAGTTTCCTTATAGCAAACAATGCTGTTTGCACCCATGGTGGAAATGTGACTATTTACTGTATGTCCAAGTTTCTCCATAAGTCACGTGGGAGAAGTAAAGTCTTTATAACATGTGGTTAACATTGTGGAAGGGTTTATTTTACCTAAACCATCTTTTTTCCGAGACCCAATCAAGTCGATTTGTTGCCTAAACCTAAAAAAAACTGTATATACATTTTAAAAGTAAAATCTCCTGGGTGAACACAGATGTTAAAAACACCACTCGTGCTTATTAAATGCAACAATTTTCACTGTCCTGTCCACATTTGTTTATACCTAAAAAAGCACGTCCATGTTCCACACAGCTGTAGATAGATGAATTGCAGCCATGTGACTTCTTTCACCCAGGTGTAAATGGACATAATAGCAAATGGATATGAATCATCATGCCTGAGCCTTTTTTCATTCAATGACCGCATCATGTGCCAACTTCATCAGGGAAGAAGTGACTATCTCAAAGCAATGCATGATGGGAGTCAGGAAGCTCCTCCCAGAAACACAAACGCAGGAAGTGCACACGGAATCACATCACTCTCTTTTTCAACCTTCTCTATATCTCACTCTCTTCCTCGCAGCCGGTCACACCCTGCTCTCACTCGCTTGTCTTCTGTCTTTTAACTCTCTGCTATTTTAATTTCCCTCTTCTCTTCCTCCAGCTCTTTGTCTCTGTTGTTTTCTTGGTCTCGTTTCTCCCTGTGATCTTTACTTCTCTTTATTTCTCCCCTGTCAGCACTTGTCATATCTGTTTTTGGAGACACTACATGCTGTGTACATTACACACAGTAGCTCTTGGTGTTTGTTTTCAAACCAGTGCACATGAGAAATGTAGATTTTGGTCTGAGGTGACAGAACTGCTAGACTCCAGACCTCTCAGGTTACTGTCTGTGTGTGTGTGTTGATGCTTCTTAAGTGGCTTTTGGTGACTCTCTGTTTCGGTATAACGAAACTTACCGTGATGCAAATTCAGTCTCAATCATTTACCGGAACTTTTGACCTTTAACCATGAAAATGATCACTTGATTCTGAGGGACCATTTAATATAAGGCGTTCACAAGACAAATAGGGGTTTTGTGAGGATACAGTGACCTATAACCTTTGACCTCCAGTTTTTAATCAGATCATCCTTGAGTCCAAGTGAATGTTTGTGCCAGATCTGATGAAATTCTCTGTGATTTATCACATTGGCAAGAACATGATGCCACTTCGACCTTCAACCACCAAAATCCAATCAGTTCATCCGTGAGTCCAAATTCTAAAAAGTCCATTAAAGCGAAATATTGTGCGATGTGTGTGCATACGTATGGACAAACCAGGACCATAATGCCTCTGGTCACTGGCTATCACTGGAGTGGAGGCTTAAAGATCTGTACAAGAGCTGACGACTCTAGAAGAAAAGCCGAGGAGGAGAAAATATGATCGGTATTTTAGGAAATATCTCCATTCAGTCAAAACTGTTCTGGAAAGAAAAGCAGATGTGTGCGTAGCGAAAACAGATGTGATGACATTTGCTATTGTTATTCGGCTGCTCACATCTGTTCACTATCAGACTGATCATACTGGGGCTGGAAACGTATTACATCCTACAACCGACTGCAACACACCCGTCCAAAAAAGGGAAAAAGAAAATCCATCGAAAGCCACATGCCGTACCTGTGAATCAGGTCTTCCAGCCTCTTCCCCTGTTCTTCATCCTGCTCCAGCTGTTTCCGCCGTACCTCCTCTTCCTCCACACCCATTCCCTGGAGGAGCCATCGTTCTCGCATGGCTTTGGACTGAGGAGGCAAAACAGAACAACACAAAGGATTTAAGATTAGACGTAGGAATATATACATATATCAACTTTGTTTCGAGGATATTGTGCAACCACTCTTCTCAAACTGCAAGTCATTGTGTTTTCTGAGGAACAAAAGAAAACATCTACTTCATCATTTGTCAGAAGGAACACTCTTCAAATTGCTCCTCTGTTCCAGCCAGCTTGAGGCACAGTATTTTTAGACATTGTTGACAGCCAGAGGAGCTTTATTATGGAGACTCATATCTAAGAGATGTGTGAGGTGACTGCTGAACACAACAAATAAACAAACACGCACAGAGAAACCTTAAACTCAGTCTTTACTCACAGCAAAAAGCTTATTGCAATAGGAATATCTTGTCAGGTGAAATATACAGTATATATACTGTATATTTCACCTGACTTGTATGAATTGTAGTTTTATTTACCTCAGAAAAGGCCCTTTATATTCAAATACTTTATATTTACATTGAAGGAACCCTCTCTATGGAGGCCGAGGTTAGGGGTGTTCAGCTGCAACATGAAATTTCAACACTAGATATCACAATATTCTACACACTGTACCTTTAAAGCACAAAGAACGTGTCTTTTGCTTTCATCTGGGACACTTCTACATTTCTATTGGGTTTTATTTTAATTGCATGTGACTATTTCAAGGCTGAGTGATGAGAAAAGGGAGAGAGGAGAAATGAAGTGTTTGTGTTATCCAGCTGCCACCTGAGGTAAAACTCCATCTGAACAGGAATAAAGCATAAAGTGATCTGCCTCTGTTTGAATTGATGTTAATTGTTTATCTGACGTTAATCGATCAGACTAACTGTGGCCTTTTGGCTCTTTAACAAAACACAATGGTTCACTTTGGCAGAGTGTGTATGTGTAACGTGCTGCACAATCTAGATTAGACCTCACATGAGATCTCAGAAGCTTTGATTTGCATCGTGGTGCATTACACACACACACACACACGCACACACACACACACACACACACACACACACACACAGACAACCAGGGTGAAGAGTGCATTCGTCTCATCATACTTGGGTTGTTGGACATTAATGGACTTAACTGTTTTAAAGATAAATGCCAGAGACGTGTGTTTATTAAGCTAATGTCTCCGTCTCTGTCTGGAGCTCTGTTTTGTTAACACAACAGAGTCGAGCGGAGACACTCAGCTTCACCTTTGGCTGTTTACTGTCAAACTGCTGCCTGGCTCTAGGTCATGGAGCTGACAATTAACACACACACACACACACACGGTGCTCTGCAGAAATTATTCTAAAGCATTTTACCGTCTCCTGTCAGAATGTGGCAGCTGGGCTGTTTGTTTGTTTGTGTGGCTGCTGTCTATGCACCACACCCACCTGGTCAAGCTGACCTCAAATAAACCAGAAGGAATTAAAACACATTCCTGAAATCTAATGTAACCAGCCACTAAATGAAAGTGGTGTGAAGACAATGCCCATGTGAAGGTTTTTGACCCAATGAATTATTTATTGGTCAAATTTGGACAAAACTGGTTTGAAGAAGGTAAAAAGAACCAAAAACAAAGTTGTTGAATAGTCTCGATCATACTCAGCTGTGACCTCTTTGTTTACTCATGTCTTTCACGGCTGTATATTCATCTCCTTAATAAGTGATAACATATTTACTGCTTGATCTAACAGTTGGATAAGCGATGGATAAACACTGTGGGTGATAGTGTGTGAGAGGAAGGAGATGACGCATTGCTCAGACTTGTCATATATTGAGTTTAAGGTTAAAGGTGAAGGTGAGTTCAGGTTATACGTTAGTGAATGATGATGCAGAAACCAGTTTAAACAAATGTGTGTGACACTCATCCATCTCTCTTAATCTACTTAATCCCTCTTTCTTTTCTGCTTAAACACAATTCCTGCCTTGACCCTGAATGTCACAGAGAGTGTCCTGAACAGTTTGTTCTTCTTGCGTGCTGGGTTTACACATACATGCACGCGTGTTTAACTACTCGTGTGCGCAGATGAATGTGTTTCTGGCCGGCAGGTAGTCGATTCCATCGGATTGTCCAGATCTCAGTGCTTCCTGGTGTGCAGGCCTGTTAGAGTTTCCCTCGGCTGAGCATGACAGGTCTGGCCGTTTTCTTCTTTCCATTAAAAAAAACCCCCACTCCAGTCCAAACACACATAAACAGTTCCCCTAATGATTCCTGTCAGCCAGTGCTGGTATAAGCCAAGAGCTTCTTTCAAGTAAACACAGATTTGACATTCAAATAGTAAGTGCTGCGCAAATGGGGACGCAAACTGTGGACAAATTGTGTGCTCAGAACAAATTGAATGTCTTTCAGGCATCGGTAATTAATGTAGAGATCTTGAACCTTTCAACCGATGAGAAATTGGTTCCTTGACCTCCGGCACAAACTCAGAAAACCACATGATCAGCGCTGTCAAGTGGAGAAACACCAGATATAGGCAACATATCATACATTTTCAGCACTGATGCACCATGTGACGTCTCTTAAAATACATTTGCTTCAAACTATTGTTTGAAAAATCCTGCTGCCCCCAAATGCTGCACAGATGCCTGGTGGGTGGGGAAACGACTGTAGCTTCCCATTACACTACAGCAGCCAGTTTTAATATTTGCAATAAAAATGCATTCCAGTCTCTAATTAGAGCCTTTAAACACATTTGGCATGAATAGATCTTTTAAGTAAGTCTGATTCCTGCTCACTGGTGTTTTCTAGCTTTAACACCCACTTACGGAAATATCGACATAAGAGAAACGACGATTAAAGCCATGTGCACAGTGTGTGTTTGGCCATTAAAGCATTATGTTCAGTGCAGTGCAACTATTAATGAAGGTTAAGCGGAGACACGACTGCTGAACATGGGTTAGAGAGGTTAGTCTTGAGTCCAGATTTCTGCAGCCTGGGCCCAGCTCCAAGACATAAACTAAACTAAGGCTTACTGGTCAGCTTAGTGTTCTGTTTACTGTCCTGCCACTGCGGATCTACTTATCATTTAATTTATATTTAATATTTTCATATATTCATGCAATAAATATATCCGTTGTAACCTTTTTAAAATCTGTGTCCTGAATGTACTACTTTATCCTGCTCGTTTTTTTGGGCTACGCTGCATGGAAAGTAATAATAATGTCAAATTACACATGACATCAACTGCTGACAATTCAGTCCACTCCAGTAACTACACTACACTTAGTCTATTAGCCTGTGTGATTTTCTGCAAGCGTTTTGGCACTGCAGAAATCCACAGGGAAGCCAACAGTAATACGTACTGACATGAAGCATTTTCATACACATAAATGTCTCTTTTTAAAGACGACAGACTATACTCATAATTTTAATTGGGGATGTTATTTGAAATACTTTTACATTTTCTAATGTCGCTTTCATTGTGATGTCAAGTTAAAACGTTTTTTTCTGAAAGTAATGCCTTTATGGATAGATGGCTTGTAGTAGAGAGATCACAGGAAATGAAGAGTGAGCGATGGGTATAACTAGCAATTGCTCCCTGTGGGACCAGGGACGTTGTGGTTCATGGCCGGGTCTTAACTGGGAGGGTGTTCCACTTGGTTTCTGGAAGCTCCTTTTTGGTGCACAGGAAATGATGCAACCTGCATTACCAGCGTTTTTATCAAGCCACCAAAGGCAAAAGAAGAAAGTATTTGAAGCTCAAAAGCCTTGCAGACAAATCTCCATCTGCTACAACTAATATATTTCAATCTGTGTACTTTCCAAGCTACACAGAGAAAAGTGAAAAGTGCGACGTATATAATCTGAATGCATCCCTAACCTGAGCATGTTGGTGCTTCGCTCCACCTTAGAAAATCAAGCTTGGATCTCCAGAGTCAGTACTGCTCTGTTTAACCAGCGGGGTTCAACTCGAGATGCAATCAGCGTCTGGTCACACAGTCCCATTTAATGGCCATTACCTCTGAGTGCCACACAGCCAAGCAGCATGAAGCCGGCTTTGTAGTCTGATCTCCAGAGACGTATCGTGGCCTGGGAGAGGAAATGGAGGCTGGAGCCCAGAGATTTGATAAGGACCTGGGGTGCTGCGTGATCCAAGTCTCTCAGAATGGAGGCGTTGATCTGAGTCTAGGGCCGTCAGCGTTCTCCTCGATGTATGTTCAGGCTTTCAATTTAGTTTTCAGCACAGATGGAACACACCTTCTCTTTAAGAGCCTGGTTGAGCGTGGTTGTGTGTCAGAGCTCAACAGGAAATGGAAAGTCAGTTAAACAGCGTGAGAGAGAGCAGGCTGGTTCTCAGAGGAAACTACTGGTCATTCACCCTCTGCAACTTTATTCCTGTCTGCTTCGTTGACTGCTGAACTGATGAGAAAACAACAACAAAACATTGTTGATGGAACTCAGAGGTCAGAGTTGAGGCCAGCATGCTTCTCTGGTTAAATGGTGATTTCTTTACCTTACATACAGATTTTATATTTACCTTGTAGTATATGGACCTCCCTAATTGCAAGTGTCTCATTGTATATCTTTCCCTCAGCAAACCCCGTTCTTGAGTTCTGTATTTCAAAACTCTGTGGAAGTAGAAAACCAACCTTGAGATGTTGTAGCTGTAGCACCAGGTCGTCCAGCTGGCTTCTTTTGTCCTCGATCTCAGTTTGACGTTTTCGCTTCTCCTGAACACACACGAAAAGAAAAAGGGATGAAAATGAATCATCCACTCGGCACAGATTATTTAAATTTGAAGTTTTAATGTTTGTGGCTTGATGCTGTCATTAGAATGAGATAGAGAGAGGAAAGAATACAGCTGGAAAAAGGTTGAGCACGACGATGCACAAACGCTGTTGTATCGGCTCAAGGTTCTAATGTTGATTTCCTTCAGCACTTTTAATGTTTTTGTTTATTTAGTTTTAAGAGTTCAATTCTTATTTACATCAGTATGTCATACAACTTTAAACTTGTACAGTATGGTCGGGTGATATAAAAGAGGGATGTTAGAATAAAACAAATCTGAAATTCAAACTATTCCATGATTTCTCTCGACAGCTCACTACACTGTCTACGTTTACATGTGTTCACCTCTTCATTCTGGAGAGACAGGGAGAAAAATTATTTGTGGGTGTACGCAGGGAGGAAGTGAAGTATTAGAGGGGTCGGAGGTCAGGGCTTATTGAGGTTTGAGGGGGGTTAGGGTCTGCAGGCTATCGAATGAGGACGGATTAGGCCTTGAAGTCTTTAAACGGCCCTGAGGTTGAACTTGAGGTGCGGAGAACAATCCTCAGCTTCACACTGGAGATGAATGAGGCCAATGTTTGGAGGCCGGGGTGTGGTGGGGGGGGGGGTCAAGCGGTGAATGAGACAAAAATACCAAACACAGAGAGAAGCAGTGTGGAGCCGCTGTCTTCACATTTACTGAGACAAAAAAAAAAAAATGCAAGGGAACATAAACAATGCGGATCCCAGGACAACACTATTTAGGGCTTAAGGGCATGAGATGAGGCTTCATCGGCCTCCCTCGCTCTCTCAGCGGGGGGGCACAACAAGGATTTTTGGGACATTTCCTGTTTGCTAAATATATAACCGTCAGGGAAAACCCCAAAATGTGATGCTGTGATAGAATGAAATCAGAAGTGAGTGAAGAGTGAAACAGAATGAAACTAGAAAGGAGCTGGAGCAAATACCGAGCAACACTCATCCATGTCAATCCCCTAAATATCCCCCTCTTTTTTTTATATCAAGCTCCATGAATCATTTCCTAGGAACAGTGATGATGTCCCTTTACTCACATTGTTAAAGAAAGTGTAAAAGATAATCCGGATTCTGCTCCCTGATCCAGAGCCACACAGAATTTAATCAGTTTTTCTCCTGGCCCATTCCTTCCACCTTGTTTCTTGAAAATCAATCCAGTAGTTTTTGTGTAACAAACTTTGAAAACAAAACAGAACTGAATAAAAGGATTGTTTTTGGAAAAGACTTGAAAACTAGTTGAAAAGTAAAATATAATCAGGTTTAAGTTAAAGGACTGGTTCATTGTTTTTGGCCCCATCAGCAAAACCGCCTCCGGAGGTGGTCAGGGTCACATTGTGACCACATTTAACACACATGTAAATCCAGCTGCTCTGTCAGTCCACACACAACAAGCACATGGGCGGAAATGTGAGTAATCACACACAAATGTTTCAAACCAAGCAGCTCCTCAACATTTTGACCGAAAAACAAGGATTCTTACCAACAAAGTCAAACAACTTGACTGTATCAGTCAGGAGCACGTCACAAAGCTGCACACAGGCTGTGAAAACATCTGCACCAGACCTGAGGTCATCGCTCTGTCTCACACACACACA